GTGACCCTGGGAAAGTGCCTTGGAGGCAGCTAGGTGGCTCAGTGGATAGAGTGCTGAGCCTGGAATCAGGAAAGGCTGAGTTTAAATCTGGCCTCAGACACTCACTAGCTAAGTGACCCTGAGCAAGTCACTTCACCTTATTTGCCTTAATTCACTGGAGAAAAAAATGGAAAACCACTCCAGTTATCTGTGCCAAGAAAACCCCATACAGATTCATAAAGAGTCACACACAACTGAAAAACAACATTTATAGCAGCAAAATCATTTTGCACAAGGAACTAAATATCTCTTATACACCTACCCATCCCTTCATTCATACCCATGGCTTCACAGAGATGACAGATGGTGAATAATAGTTCTTACATCCAGGTAACAACATGCACTGAGATCTACCCAGACATGCTCTTGGCTCAGGGCTAATGATCCCTCTGATTATACCACTTAGATAGAAATGCTGATGTGAACTGGGTGCCTCTCCAATACCTTTGTCATCAGAGTATGCACAGTCTTTCATGATCTATTGAATCCTGTTGCAAATCACTGATAACTCAGGAAGGCAGTGAAGCGCTGGGGTGGAGGGGGGGAATTAGGAGTCAGCAGGTCTAGATTCTCATCCTGGCTCCTTCACAACCAACTGTGTGAGCTAAGGGGTGACACAACATCTCTGTATCTTCATCTCCAAAGTGAGGGGTGGGGTCCCTCCCAGTTCTCCCTTTCTGTGAGTCTGAACAGCAATCACCCCACCTATTTCCTATGAGACACTGCCAGCTTTAATTCAGCCCTAGGATGATAGAACCCTGGATTTAGAGCTAGAAGGGACCTGGGATGCCACTGAGATCAATGCTCTCATTTTACAGGTGAGGAGACTGAAGCCTGGGGAGGTTGAGTGACTTGGCCACAATTACACAGGTAATAAATGGCACAGTTAGATTTTGAACCCAGGTCCTCTAAATCCCAATTCAATGTCTTTATCAACTATACTATGAAAATTCTTCATGATCCTTGGTTCTAATGCATTAGGTCTGAGAAACAGCCACAAAACTTCTGTGCCTAGGACAGGTCTGGTCTGGAAAGCATCCTCCTCAGAGCAATTCCAGAAGACAAACATTCCCAAGTTCCATCTGGCCAAGGCCCCTATATCTCCTGTCAGCTTCCCCCTGTCATTAGAAACTGCTCAAATAGGGGGCTGTTCCCTTGGGGAACGTGAGGGGAAATGGCTGGATGGCTGGATGGGAAAATGGCAGGAGTTGAGATACTAAAAGTCTCAGTCACCCAGGACCTCTATATCAATAACTGCAGTGGTTGACATAGAGGTTAATTGAACTCAGTGGTACTAAATCTAAGCCCCTAGAAGTCAGGAACACATGCTAGTTAGGTTTCCTGTCATCCAACACTGGCTCAGGATTCATATCTATGAAAGTATTTTGGAACATGTGATACACTGGGCAAGCAGGACAGTCTTTTGTTGAACTGAGGCTACTTGGTCCAGGCCAGGCTCAATCCCTGGGGTCTAAATAGAAAGCTGTATTGTCTTTGCCCACATATTTGGTCATTGTGTTGAGTTTCCTCTTCTCCAATAAACTGCAGATGAACCAACTAGGACAGGCAACTGACTCAAAGGTGGAAATGTTGCCACTTACATTTTGGTAAAATGCAAAAGGCTTCTCTGCTTAGTGATATAATGCCACTATGTCGCTCTCCTGAAAAGCAAGAAGAAAAAGCTCATCAGAAGGAGTTATCAAATTTCAGAATTTGAGAACAGGAAGGGATCTCAATCACCATCCAGTCCAAGCCCTACACAAAAGATGTCCCCCTTATAATATATATCTCAGTGGTTATCCAACCTCTACTTGAAAACCTCCAAAGACCAGCAATCCATCTCCTCTTGAGGCTGTCCATCCACTCTGAGACAGATCTCATTCTTGGGATGGGTTTGCTAATATTAAGCCCAAATCTGCCTCTGCAGTTTCTACTGCTTGATCCCAGTTCTGCCCACAGAGGCCAAATGGAATGTCAAGTCCCTCTCCCACAAGATAGCCCTTCAACTACTTGAAGATAGATATTGTGTACAAGAATGATTGAAATATTCTCTGCTTGGTCCCATGAGGCAGAACCAGGAAGAAAGTGTGACTATTACAGCAAAGATTCAGGATTAACATAAGGCAAAACAACCTAATGATTAAAGCTATCCAAAGTGGAATAGCTACTTTGAAATTCAATGACAGGAAGGAAGGAAGAAAAAAAGGATAAGAGGGAGGGACAAAAGGAGGGACAGACCAAGGGAGAGGAGAGAAACATAGAAGAAGAAAGAAAAATGCACTTTTTATCTTTTTTTTATTTTAGACAAATACTAAAACAAATATATAAGGAGAAAAGAAAAAGAAACATAAACTTAAATGTTAAACTTAAATATAAAAGAATAAAAGAAAAAACGCATCATATGCACAGCAGAACATAGGAGAGGATTCAGAATATATAGCAATAAATTTGCATTTCAAGACACTCTATCTATTAAATACTGTGCATTACATTGAAAGCTTCCCATCCTTTCTTTGCTTCCTTGTAAGTTTTCTTTTGTACTCTGCTGTACACTTGTCTACTTTGTTCTTTTTTCCCCTTTCCTCCCACCTCCCCCCCACCCAGGCTGCAATTAATCATGGATACATACATACATACATACATACATATATATATACACACACACACACATATATATACATACATATACATACACATATATATAATCATGTATCCACGATTAATTGATATATACATACACATATACATATATACACATACATACATATATCACACATACATGTAAAATATATACTTTTGCTAATAGATTCTACTCCTAATCTTGTTGTTTGTGCATATCTCTTTTTTCCTATCTCTCCTAACTCCTCTACTTTACTTCTTCCCCATACCTAGCCCTCCTATTACTTAATCTACCCCACCCTCTAGCAACCCCTCCTTTATCCTCCCATTTCCATAAATCTAAACAACCTTTAATAAGCCCCTTTAACCTATTGCTTTTCTTCTACCCACTAATTGCCCTCCTATTATTTAACCTACCCCTCCTTGAAAATGGATTTGTAAGGGTTATCACATGCCAGACAGTGCAAAGCTTTGGAGTTACAAATATCAGCAAGTGAGGCAGTCCCTGCCCTAAAGGAGCTTACTTTCCAATGGGGGAAGACAACATACAAAACAAAGCTAGAAAGTATATGGAGGGTAGGTGAGGTTTGCAAATGGCCCAGACATGGCATGATGGCCTGGTTTTGAGCAAGATAAGGCAAAAGCTCATTTATCACAACCCAAGAGCTTTCACTGGAAACTAAATGACTATTTCTTGGTCATACTCATACATATACACATATATCTATATGTTTATTATAGCTATATATGCATATATATATATTTATTTAATTTTCTGTGTTCTCTCCAGAGGAATGTTCGTTCGATCAAGGTGGGGACTGTATCATTAATTTTTCTTATTTTCCCAGTGCCCAGTACAGTGCTTGGTACATTCTAGGTATTTACTGATTAAGTGCAAGGGATGGATACTCTATAAATTATGATCAGCCCAGATCTCTCAGTCTTATACAATCTACTAGAATCAGAAATAGCTCTACCACAGCCTCAGTACCCCCATTTCCTTTTCTCTATCCCTTTTCCTCCTTGAAAAACTCATCTCTATTCTTCCTATTGCATTTCCCCCAGGTCAATCCACCTCTGCTCTTTGAATCTCTCTATATCAGTTTGCCTCTGAAGCTAGTGGTTCATGAGCTGGGCTCCCTCCTTTCTTCTACCCTGCCCACAATGGGGAAGAATGAGGAATATGTTATAGTGGCAAAGCCCAGTGCCTTAACAGTTACACAACTATAAGTTCATACTATCATCAAGGGCAGAAGGCACAGAGGAGCACTGGGGGAAGCCTTCCCTCCTACCTTCATCCCAGGATATGTCTCCAAGTTCACTAAAGTCATATTTGGGGCTTCTCGTTACATGTCAAACCTTCTCAGTGTCTGTATTTACAGGTTCCTTTCCTCAGAGAGTCATCATGGCATAATAGAGAGAGGGTTGGCCTTGCAGTCAGGAAAACCTGAGCTCAAATCCCACCTGACTCTTGATGTCTTTGTCACCCTGGGCAAGCGATCTAACTTCTTAGGGTCCCATAACAACTCTATGTTGAGAGTGCAACCCCTCAAAGACCAGAGTATAGGATGAGGTCATCTGGAACGAATTCACAAACTCAAGTAATCTTTAAGTCAAGTTGGCAAAAGTTTATTGTTAATGCTTTTCAGTGGGCAAGGATTCTTAAGGAACCTGCAACCTAACAAGAATGACGCCAAAGCTTATATGGCAAAAGTAGTAGATTATGTGCCAAGTATGCTAATTAGGTGATAACATACAACTACATCATTCACTACTAGAAACCCGGGAGGGGGTCTTAAGGGGTGTATTTTTGGTCTGTTGTGTCTGTGACTAGACAGCTTCAGGAGTTGACGTCTATAACTTGACCCCTGGACTGTACACAATAACTGTGGGAATCAGTACATGATAGTTCTATTGATACAAAAGAGTACAAGGGAAATTCTACAGAGTTCAGCTTGTTCTTTTAACAGGCAGAGATAGTGTGCCTCACTGGGCCCACTCATGAGTCTTTGCCAGAGATAGGGTCTTTGGGATGTAGGAAAACTGCCAAGGATAGTATTTCTGGGGCCAGGGAGAAATTGAGGTCCAAGAACAAATACCCAAGCACCCCATCATCTCTAAGACTATGAAGTGGTGAGAAGGTCTCAACCTACATGAATAGAGGGAGTTTAAATCTAAAGGTTCTCAATACCAAAGAAATCACACTTCTAATCTCTATCCCTATTTCCTCAGAAAAGGCTTGCACTAGAGACGGAATCAATTAGGATAGCAAAAATAACTCAGATTTCTATAGTGCTTTAACCTTTACAAAGCACTTTACATACACTAACTGACTTAATATTCACAAGGACCCTTTGAGATAGGTGCCCATTTTACAGATGAAGAAAAATGAGGCTGAGAGGCTAAAGGAATTATTGGTATAAGGCAGGATGATAATCTAGGTTTTTCTGATTCCACATCCAGCTACTCTGTGAGGCTAAAGAAGTCACCTCTTAGATGAAAGGGAACAGAAAAAGAAGGCTACAGATGCCCCCCTAAAAATTCACCTATTTTGTGCTTTTCCTAACCTCAACTCCCCAAACTTACTGAAGACAGATTTTGGACTTCTTATTACTTACTAATCAGTCTCAGTCCCTTCATTTATAATCATCTTTCCTCAGAGAGGCTATATTGCAGGGCAGATGGAGAGCTGGCCTTGGAATCAGAAAGACCTGAGTTCAAATTCCACCTCTGACACATCCCACAACAGTACTGCCACATACTGGCACTGATACCATGGAAACAGACCCATACTAGAGGGTGAATGAGCTCAGAGTTGGCTGGTTGGTGATAAAACTGCCAGATACCCATAGAGTATTCTTTAACTTTTCAAAGCACATTTAGAGTATTTCATTAGAACCTTCTACCATTCCTATGAGGTTAGCAGATCTAGTTACCAGTCTTCATTGGACCAATGAGAAAATCAAAGCTGAAGAAGGTTGAGCTTGCTAGGATCAGAGACCTACAACTGAAAGGTTCCTAAGAGGTCACCTAGTCCAACGCTATCATTTTACAGATGAGGAAACTGAGGCTCACTGAGAGGAAATGATTGGCCCAAGGTCACACAGCAGTAAATGTCAGAGGTGGGATTTGAACCCAAGTTCTCTGTCTTTAGAAGATGTGTTGTTTCCCCTCTCCCCCACTCTACCACACTTGCTGAAGGTCATAGAACCTAGGAATGACCAAATCCTTCCCTCCCAAATGGACTCCCTCAACTCTTGCTATCACCCATCAAATTCCTGAGGCCTACTTTCTGGGAGAGTTTGGGTTGTGGACTGGACTTTTGATTTCACTGGAACAGGGAACTCCTGGGGATAAATCATTTTCTGTCTACATAGATCAGCAACTATTCTGCCATGTTTAGTCTTAGAGCTCTTGACTGTTTGCCCAAGATCACATCATCAGCACCCATCAGAGAAAGACTTGTGGGAGATTCAGGTGAGTTAAAATTTGCCCTTTCTTTGTTCTTTTTTTTTTTTTGGCTGAGGGAAATCAGGGTTAGATGACTTGCCCAGGGTCACACAGTTAGTTAAGTGTCAAATGTATGAGACCAGATTTGAACTCAGGTCCTTCTGACTCCAAGGCTAGAGCTCTATCCACTGCACCACCTAGCTGCCCCTTCCTTTCTTTATTCTTTATGATCTTTGGTGCTAAAGCTTTAGGTCTGAGAAACAGCTGCAAAACTTCAGCCCCTGGGACAAGTCTGGTCTGGAAAGCATCCTCCTCAAAGCAATTCCAGAAGACAAATATTCCTAAATGCCACCTGGCCAAGGCCGCCATGTCTGCTGTCAGCCTTCACTCCATCACTAGGAACTACTCTGCTGAGTGGCTGCTCCCTTGGGGAATGTGAGGGAAAATGGCTGGATGAGGAGTTCAGTAGTTGAGATACTAAAAGCAACAGTCACCCAGGACCTCTGTATCAATGACTGCAATGGCTGACATACAGGTTTATTAAACTCAGTGGTATTAAATATAAGCCCCTAGAAGGCAGGAACATATCTTGTTATATTTCCTATCTCCCAATACAGGCACAAGATTAATATCCACAAAAGTGTTTTGAAATATATGATACACTTTGCAGGCTTTTGTTGAACTGAGGCTACGTGTCCCAAAATTACCACTAATACAACATGAAACCTGTATTATAATACTTCGTATCCTTGGTCAGGAAGACGGGTTTCCTTTCAAAAACATTAGTAGTTAATAACCAGTCAGGATAGGCTGCTGACTCAATACTAAAAAGGTCATCGAAGTCATGTCGATGCACGTAAAATACAAAAGACCTCTCTGCTTTCGGGGCATGATATAATTCCATTATGTCCCTCTCCTGAAAAGCAAGAAGAAAAAGCCCATCAGAAGAGGTTATAGAATTTCAGAATTTGAGAACTGGAAAGGATCTCAATGGCCATCCAGTCCAACCCGTACACAAAAGATGTCCCCACTATAATCTATATCTCAGTGGCTATCCAACCACTGCTCGAAAACTTCCAAAGACTGGCAATCTATCTCCTCTTGAGGTGATCCATCCCACTCTGAGACAACTCTAACTGTTGGGATGGATTTGCTGATATTAAACCCAAATTTGCCTTTTTGCAAGTTCTACTGTTTGATCCCAGTTCTGCCCACCAAGGCCAAATGGAATGTCAAGTCCCTCTTTCACGAGATAGCGCTTCAACTACTTGAAGACATATAATGTCCCCCTCCAACACCCCAAAGTCTTTTCTCCAGGCTGAGCATGCCAGGGTCCATCAAGCAATCCTCAGATGACAAGGAATCAAGACCCTCTACCGTCTTGGTTGCCCTCCTCTGGCAACTCTCCATTTTATCAATGACCTTTTTAAGCTGTGTTGCCCAAAATTGAATACTATAGTCCAGATGAAGAGGGACAAGAGCAGAGTACAACTGGACTGTCATCCAATTCTTCCTGAAAAGCATCCCTTTTAAATGCAGCGAAAGGTTGCATTAGTTTTTTGTTTGTTTTTTTGTTTATTTGTTTTGCTGCTGCTTCTCCTGAGAATTTTAATCAAATTAATCCTACCATAGGCACCTGAATTCTGTTAAACTTGGATCAGGAAGACCTGAATTCAAATCCTACCTCAGATAATTGCTAACTAGGGGACACTAGGCAAGTCACTTAGCCTCTAGATGCCTCAATTTCCACATCTGTACAATGGGGATGATAATAGCACCTTCTTCACAGGATTGTTGTCAGGATCAAATGAGATAACATTCATAAAATGCTTTGCAAACCTTAGAGTAGTATATAAATGGTAGCTATTATTAGCCATCACCATTGCCTTTCAAAGGGAATGTCAGTTGACTGCCCTATTGTTGAACTCATATCTAGGACTTCCCAGACCATAACTTCCTTTTGTTAGCCACCGCTCCCTTATGTGTGGCATCTTCCCCATTAGCAGGTAAACTCCTTAAAGGTAGGGACTTTTCTATTTACATTCTCAGTGCTGAGAACAGTGTTAGCTCATAACAAATACTCAATGTTTTTCATTCATTCAGTTCTGAGCACTACACTTCAGTAAGTAATTTAAAAGTGCAGAGTATCCAGAGAAGGGAGACCAGGATGATGAAAGATGTTAAGATCATGCCACATAAGAATGAGATGAAGGAACTAGTGATATTTAGCTTGAAGCAGAACAGCTCTATGAAGGACATGACGTTTTTTCAAGTGTCAGATGGTATTTCATATAGACAAAGGATTGAAATATTCTCTGCTTGGTCCCACAGAGCAGAACTAGGAAGAAAGTGTGAATATAGCAGCAAAGATTCAGGATTAATAGAAGGCAAAACAACCTAATGATTAAAGCTCTCTAAAGTGGAATCAGCTACTTTGAAAGGCAATGATAAGAAGGAAGAAAGGAAGGAAGGAAGGAAGGAAGGAAGGAAGGAAGGAAGGAAGGAAGGTAGGAAGGAAGGAAGGAGGGAAGGAAAGAAGGAAGGAAGGAAGGGAGAAAGAGAGAAAAGAAGAAAAGAAAATGCATTTATTAAAGGTTTATTATATATTAGATACTACAAAGCATTGAGGTTATAAATATCAGCAAGGCAGTCCCTGCCCTCAAGGATTTTACATTCAAATGAGGGAATATAACATGTGTAACAAAGCTAGAAAGCATACAGAGGGTAGGTGTGGTTTGGAAATGGCCAAGACATGCCTTGATGATCTGGTTTTGAGCAAGATAAGTTAAAAGCTCATTTCTCACAACCCAAGAGCTTTCATTGCAATCTGGATGACCATGATTTGGTGATCACTTTCTAGGAGACCATAATTCAAGTATTGCTTGGGCAAGGTGACCTCTGAAATCCTTTCCCATTCTGAAATTCTATGAGATGCTATGAAACTCACCTTCAGCTTCAGTGTGGGCTTCCCTCCACTCTCTTCACAGCAAAGACACAGTTTATAGTTTTCTATTCCCAGGTAAGTAGCATCGGCTTCACCTTTTTGAAGAGACTCATCTCGGCATGGTGTGGCCGTCAAGGCGACTGAGAATACAAGAATCAGTGACCATACAGAGTGAAAAAAATGTGAGGATCAAGAATTCATTTTTGACAAAGAGGGTGTTGGAGGAGGGCACCATCCATCTAAAGAAAAGAGCAAGGGAATGCCATAGTCGTACTTGAGCTTTAGGGATATTGAGTTGGAAGTACTTAGGGAAGAGAAGGGAAGTGCCTAGGTCTATGGGAATCTTCCACTCATTCCAGGATGAAGAGGTCATCTGCTCAATGGCCTAGTCCCCATATTGATTCAATTTTTCCTTTGGACTTTGGAATCCCTGATAGAAATTTGAATTTGAACACAGTCCTCCCAGGAAGCATCCCAGGGGGAGAGACTTCTGACCTCACAAAAGAGCAGTCTCTCACACTGTTGCTTCAGCCATGCCTGCAATTTGCTTCATCTGATTTCCCTTCAGTTAACACCCTAACTAGGCAGGCTTGGCAGTCTCCTGAAACATAGTCTTGTGATGCTGGTATGGTACACATGATGGAAATAGGACTTCTGATTAGCTGAAAAACTTCTGATAGAGAGGCAGAGAAACAAAGAAGGGGAATGAGAGAGAAAGGATTGATTTTTGACAAACAGAAGATGCCCAGGAGGAGCTAACACTCCAACGTGTCTTCATTGATTCCCAGAACCTGCACTCCCAAAGGCTACAAAGAACAGACCTCTAGGGTGAGATTGTTCCTTGCTTGGTGGAGCTGAGATTTCCCCTCCCTTCCAAATTCCAGACCCACCTGACTCATATGTATTCTTCTGCCCAAACTAATTGGTATAACTTCCCTAATTACCATCTTGTTGTTTGCTTTGGTAGTTATATTTGTTCATTACTCATGATCATTTTTGATGTAATTAGCATTTTGTGGAATGGGATATAAACTGGCTTAGAAGAGGTTGACTGTTATCCTCTTGTTCTAGGGCAAACCTACTTACTCCCAGAGTGACTAGCAAAAGTGGCTTTTACCCTAAACACCAAGAAAGCATTGTACTTCTAGAAGGCAAATATCTGATGTGCAATAGATAGATATAATTCTGGCTCACTTCACTTCCCTCCCCTTCCCTCTTGAAGATTAGAGAGCAAAGGAGTAATCACCCAATCACAGCCATTCCCCAACTTGCCACAAAGGCAAAAGTAGCATTATTCCTAGGAAATGTGGAGTGGGGCATTCCACATCCCAGACCCATCTACAGGTCCACTCTCCATACTCCCTGAGGCCTTGGAGTCCAGTTCAACTTGCTACTATAAACTTATAGACTTGGACCTAAAAAAGACTGATGGGTCATCAAATTCAACCCCCTCATTTTACAGATGAGGAAAATGAGGTTCAGAGAGCCTCACTTGTGCCTAATGACTGCCCAAGGCAACAAAACTAGTAAGTGTCTGAGGTAGGAGTCTAACACAGGTCTGCCTAATGCCAAGTTCATTGCTCTATCCACTGTGCCACCCTAGTTTGCCTGTAAAAGAATGGAGGAAGCTCCCCACCTCTTTCCTGGATATGAGCAATGGTGTTCCATTCTGTTCCTTTCCCTTCATTACCACCTTCTCCCAGACCCATTATTACCATAATTCCTTGGCATTAGAATCCTCTCAGGTTAGATTGCAAAAAATCTATCAACCCGAATTTCCCCTCTCTCCTCCATCCTCCCTCAGCATTATTCTACTGCTCTTTTGTCTCTGTCTTCATGGAACAGCCCAGTTTAACTCTAAAAAAGGCCAGGCTGCCTCTTCCCTTACCATCTTTCACTGCCTGGTATAGGATTGTTCCTTCCCTCACCATTTATGGCTAATAACTGCCCAACTCATCCCTGGAATTTTAGAGTTACAGGCATCTGTCCTGAAGGACACTGTAAACAGAGGGTCACTCAAAGCATGAGACTGCCTCAGAGAAAGATAAAGTAGAGTCAGGTTTCCTACTCACTTCTCTTCCCTGGTCTGGCATGAGGAACTGCCACAAGGGTCTTCCCGTGAAGGATAAAGTCTTGTCCAGCAGAGTCATGAATTCCCTTGACGTAAGGCAAATCTTTGTCTTCTAAATGAAAATGGTGACAAAGCAAATGTCATTGGCTGGTGAAGACTGAAGCTGATTTAATGGTTTGGTTTCTAGAAAATTGCCAATTCTCTGTCAGCACGTGGAGAAGGATGGGCTGATGTTGATGGAATACAGCCCCAACAGAGTCCACACACTGCCACTTTCTCTCTATATATATATCCCTATTGAGATTACCAAAGAGCTGTGATCGTGAAGGAGGAAACTGCAGAATTTCAGAAATGGAAGGGAACTCCGAGTCCATCTAACCAACCCACTCCCAAACACTGAGAATGTCCAGCAAACATCCATTCTTTTTTTTTCAAGAGAACCTTTAATGCAGAGGACCCTACCACATCAGGAGACAGCCAAGTTCTGCTTTGGGACAGCTCATTGTTGGAAGGTTTTTCCTGACACTGAGTCTAAATTTACCTCTTTGTAAACTGTACCTTTTACTCTTCTTGTTGTCTTCGTGGGTCTAATCTCTCTCCCCAGGGTTGGCTTCATATACTTAAAGACAGTGATCATCTCCCCACTGAGTCTTCTTTTCTCCAAGCTAAACCTCCCCAGTCTCTGTAAACCATCCTCATGTGGCATGGACTTGAGGCCTGTCCCTCATCAAGCCGCCCTTATCTGGCTGCCTCCAGCTTCTCAACATCCTCCCTCATGCCTCAAAAGGAATACAACCTTCCAGGCAGGAGAACAGAGTCATAATTGCCTCCTTATTCCTGGAAGCTGTGATTGATTCTCTCAAAGCATCCCCATATCCTATCAGGAGTATGTATGTGGGTGGGTGTGAGTATGGGTGTGAGTGGGAGTATGGGTGTGAGTGGGTGTTTGCCTGTCATAATCTCACTGCTGTCAATATCAAGACACTGAATTGGGCCTCCCTTCTCTGAGTACTCTCCAGTTTATTGAGGTCCTTACTGAATGGAAACCCCAGGTCTTTTTCAGGCAAACTGATAGCTATCGAAATCCTAATTCTGGTTAAGTTAATTTTTTTAAACTAAATGTAGGACTTTGAATTTATTCCTATTGTCTTTAATATTATTAGCATGAGACCAATGTTCTAGCCTGTCAGGATCTATTTGAAACCTGATTTTATACTTCTGGATATTGACTATCCCCTTGGCTCTGTTATCACCTGTAAGCTTGAGAAGCATCCCATCTGTCACTGATAAACATGTTAAGCAGACCAGAGTCAAGAACAGATTCCTGGGGCACTCCATTAGAGAGCTCCTTCCAAGTCCACTCTTTTTCTTTTGATTAGTTGTTTAATCATATTCTGACTCTTCATGACCCAATTTGGGGTTTTCTTGGCAAAGATACTAGAGTGGTTTGCCATGTCCTTTTCCAACTCATTTTACAGATGAGGAAATTGAGGTAAACAGGGTTAAGTGACTTGCCCAGGGTCACAGACTAGTAAATATCTGAGACTGGATTTGAACTCAGGTCTTCCTGACTCCACGTCTGGCTCTCCATCCACCTAACCATTAATGCATCCCCTTTTGAGTCCAACCATCCAACCAATCTTGAATCTCTCTAGATTCCAAATGTCCTATACTCTAGGCAGCAGCTCTCTCTGTTTTCCCACAGGAACAGCATGAGATCCTTAATTGCTTTGCCAAAATCAGCTGAATTCTATCTGTGGCATCTCTCTAATCTTCCAGTTCAGTTACTCCACCAAACAAGTAAACAAATTTGGAATCACATGACTTGTTTTCATTAAAGCCATGCTAACAATCTGCAATCACCACTTCTTTCTCCAGCTGTTCATCAAGCATTGCTTGAATGGCTCTTTCTACAATTTTGTAGAAATCCAAGACCAGTTCACTGGCCTATAGTTGGCAGAGCAGATCCTATTCTTTTCCCTTTTGAGGAAAATTAGAATGCTTGCCTTTCTTTGCACCATGGCCATTCTCCAGGATCTTTCAGATGTCACTGTCTGTGCTTTCCCCACATCTGCCAAGAGGCAGCTCCCTCGGACCAAGGAACTTGAACTCAAGAATAGCTCTCTTAATATCTCTTTGCTTATCTTGGCTATTCACTCCCATGTAACCATTTTGTTCTGGTTTTTTTTTTCTAATCCAAAGGTCATTCTCCTTCTAGAGAAAATAAACAAAATGGGAGATGAGCAGCTAGGTCTCTTATCTGTTATCATTCTATCTGCAGTGAGCCTCCCCTGCCCTGGTTGACTAGTTCCCCTCAATATGGCTTTCCCTTGTTTGTCCGTTTTTAATCCTTGTGGCCCTCCTAGAATCAAAGAGGGAGGAAGTCATCTGCCCCTGCCTGTCCCCTCACCCAGAGTGATAATCAGAGATTGAGGAAAGTCTGGAGGCTGGGAAGATAAAGATGTGTATTCTTTGGGACAGATTCTGCTGGGTTGGGGATATTCTATACATTCCTTAAAGGATCCATTCAACATAAGAATATTTTCCAAAGCCAAATAGACCTAGATTATATGCCAAGGGGCTATCCCATAAAGAAGGCCATCATCAATAAAAAGGTAAAACAAACCAACCCTAAAATGATATCCAAAAATGGAATACAAAAGAAAAAAACACAAATGTCCAAAGAGATGGCACAGACGTACACCAGAGGGGAGTGTAACATGATAGAAATGGGCAACTGTACCTATCAGGTCTCCATTCCTGGATGGGCTTGGTGTGAACAGGGAGCTGCATGAGCCTAGGACAGGTTTCCCACTACCTGCCCTGGGAGCCCCGACAAGCATGCTTGGGGGAGGTGAAGGGGCACAGCCATATCTCACCTTTATGTAGTGGTGATTTCTGTAAACATGGGAAATAGTGAAACTAAAAACATAAAAATCTTGGCACTGTTGTTTCTAGGTTAAAGGGGGCATGATATCCTTCAATCAATCAATCAACAAGCAGTTCTGCTATATGATAAGCTCCATGCCTGCCCTCAAACAGCTTGAATTCTAACAGAGGAGATAACATGTACACATACAGACAGATCTCTTTATATGAGTGGATTGGTTGGCAGTAATGTGAATTTGCCTGGGCCATGGGGAAGGAAGGGATGTGGGGAAGGGAGGGACGGAGGCACAAAGGGGACTGCAAAGGGGGTTGCCTCCCATGGACAGAAGGGGCCAGCATACAGTTCAAGGACAGGGACAGAGAAGCAAGAACAGGAGGAGGAATGTGCAGGGACCAGGGCCAGAACCTAGAAGAAAGAACAGGGAGAAGGACTGGGGCGGGGGGGGGGGGGGGAGTAGGGACCAGATGGACACAGACAGGAGAGGACAGACATGTTGTACCAGATGGCAGACAGACAGAGGGCAGTTGGGGAAAGTGGGGCAAAGGTCTTCTCTCTCAGCACAGGAGGTCTCAAGCCAAACCCGCCATCCCACCATAGCAGTGGGGGTCTCTATTTCCTCCGACCTTCTGCTTTCTCTCTTGGGGGGGGTGTTTCATTTATAGGGGGCTTTTGTTTTTGGTGGGAGAGGGAGGGTGAGAGGCCCACAGAGCACCCACAGCAACAGGCAGGAGCGAGGAGAGAGAGAGAGCAGAGTACTACACGGTAAGGTTAACATAGGCCCTTTTTAAGGAATGTGGATTTCTTTCAGAATTCTTTAAGAAAAGTCAAATTTGAGTAAATTTATGTAAAGTGATAACTCTCTGTATAGGAAGATACAGAATATATGCAAACTTAATTCAGGGTAGTTTGGGGAGGGAGAGACACCAGCAGCCTGGGCAATGAGAAAGCCTCTGCCACAGGCACAGGTGAAAATAAAATGTAATGGGACATACAAGTGTCTTCCATACAATGGGTAGAATTTAGGGGGCTCTCATGTGTTCCCATATGCATAACTTCTAGATTCTCTAAAACTGATCTGGGCAAGTTTCTCACCCCACAGTGACCTTTAGCCTTCTCCTCTCCAGGATGTACACAGATCATGGATGCAAAGCTGGAAAAGATCATAGTGACCATCAAGTCCAACCCATCTGGCAAAATCCAGCCTCAGACGCTGACCAGCTGTGTGACCCTGGGCAAGTCACTTAACCTCGATTTGTCTTAGTTTCCTCAATTATAAAATAGGGATAATAATAACATCTACCTCCCAGAGTTGTTGTGAGGATCAAATAAGAAAATATTTGTAAAGCACTTAGCACAGTGCCTGGCACATAGTAGGTGCTATATAAATGCTAGTTGTTGTTTAACATTATTGTTATTATTATTATTATTATATGAGGAAACTGAGGCCCAGGGATATTAAATAATTTATCCAAGAGCACACAGGCGGTAAGCATCACAGGGAGAATCTAAACCCAGGCTCACTAACTTCAGAACCAGTGAGGGCTCTTGGCATTGCCCCACAGCTAACTAGACTGAGAGCCAATGTTGTCAGCCATATTGTTGCTTACCTTGGGTATGTGAATTGGGGTCAATTCTACTCATGATAAGATTCTCTCTGCTCCTGTAAGGATAGATTTAAAGGTAACTGATTTGTATGACTTTCTTCAGGGCTAGTCCCAGGTATAGCCCCATACTGAACTTTACCTCAGTACCTCTATCCAGAGAGGTGTGGGTGAGGAAGGAAGGAAACAAGTAGTTATTAAGAAACATAATAAATAGAGCTTAATAAATGCTTATTCCCTGTTCTCTCTTCCACACCTACCATGGGCCAGGCTAAGCACTTTACAAATGTTACTGTGCTAAACTTTTTATAAATATTATCTCATTTGATCCTTACAACAACCCTTGGAGGTAAGTGCTGTTATCATCTCCACTTTTCAGTTGAGGAAACTGAGGCAGATAGCAATTAAGTGACTTCTTCATGGTCAAATAGCTGATAGCGTTTGAGGTCAGATTTGAAATTGGGTCTTCTTGCCTCCAGGTACAGCATTCCGATGTGCCACTTAACTGTGCTAGGGGAGGAAGCCCCCTAGGTCATGGTTCAGCAGGTCATGGCTACTGAACTGCAGAGATTCACAGATGGCTCCTCTTCCCTGGCACCCCAGGGCACTCCACTCAGCTTCCTCAGCAGGGATCTCCCCATGACCACAGGCATCATCTCCCATATCCCCCAGAGCAACAGGTGGGACAGCAGACCATCCCTCAAGAATAAACTCTCATTCAAAGATCCCACCTATGTTGCAGTTTTCCCATTTTAGTCAAACATGTCCCTAAGAGTTTCTACACTGACCCTGGCTCATCAGCCATCAGTGTCCATGCCCAGTGAGCAGGGAATGGATCTGCTACCCCCATGGGATGTAATAGTCCCCATGGCAAAAATGAAAACATCCTGACAATAGAAATACTTAGGCTCAGACCCAAAACCACCACTCTTGGAACCCAAGGGACTGCAGTGAGAGAAAGATCCAGAGACAGATGGTTTTTCAGCTGCAGGAAGGATCAAAGGGTACCTGGTCCAACCACTCTCCCCAATTTTCCTGAGCTCCTGGGATGTGATGGTTTCTTTAAGCTCCAATGAGATTTTCTGGAGTTGCTTATCCTTTTATCCAGTTGAAGAACTATAAAAAAAATTTTATAAGAAGTTTCTCTGATAAAGGCCTCATTTCTCAAATATTTAGAGAACCGGGTCAAGTTTACAAGAACATGAGTAATTTC